GGTGGGGTCTAGAGGAAGTCCGAATCCTTTGACCGCTTCGGCCGGGGGCCGAGGCGAATATATGTATATATATATATATATATATTTATATTTATATATATTTATTTACATAATTTAATGAAACGGAGTCACCAAATGAGGGGCATGTCTGAGGTACATGTTGAACCGGAATCGCCAAATGAGGCAGCGTGTTTGAGCTATGTGATGTGCCGGAGTCGCCAAATGAGCTGGCGTGTTTAAGACATGCGATGACCCGGAATCGCCAAATGATGGGACGTCTTCAAAGTATGTGATGAACATGAACAGCTGGAAACATACATACATACGCCATACGCATACGCGAAGATGCTGTAAGTGACAACGTTTCACATCGGCTCAAGCTTCTGAAGAATCGCAATTGGGCTCGCGCAGCGAGCATCCTGTGTAGTCCACTTGCCCATAGTTGCAGCTGCTCTGGGAAAGGAAAGACCAAAACTTCAAAAGAAAACAAGAAACTTGAAAGTAATTCTGGAAACCTTATTCGTTGACAGTTGTGTGCACAGCAGCATGTGTTCTAGTCGCAAGCTCAGTGGAGATAGTTCACCAAGCAACAGACATCTCTGAACATCATGGTGGTTCCGTTCTTGCCCTTTGAGGATCGTCGCGGCAAGCTTTCAGGTATGATGTCAAGCTCGCCGCATTGGCTCAACCCAGCCCAGCATTGGCCGGGAGCGCGAAACGCGGCTGCTTGCGCGCAAGCGACGTCATGTATGCAATACTCAGCAACACCTTCAGACAGCACCTGTCGTAGTTGACTTTCGGACGATTGACCATAGCCTGTTGGTCGAAGATAAGTTTTCGAGGAAAGTCAGGTCTTGCAGCAGACGCGCCAAGACGAGATATGAGCTGAAGCACAACATATTCTCGTGCAGATCGGACAAGCTTCGCTGCAGCAGAAGCTGTAGTCCGAAAAGAATGTGAAAAACCGCAATGTTTCGGAGTTCGTTGCGACCCGTTTGCCACACAGAGTGCCGAAAGCCAATAAGCCATGCGGAGTCATGCTTTGTTGTCCTGTGTGTGCCGATGCCAATGTGTTTTTTTAAATCATGGTTTGTCTTCACATCCAATGCTTGCACCATGCTTGCAGTGGCAGGAGACTCCGAGATTGGCACGCTGTTTAAGTGACTAGGAAGCAGGCACAGAAGGTCAGCGAGGGGTGGAGGGTGCTCTGTCGGGATGTGTAGCGGTACTTTCTTCGCCGCCTATGCGCAGCCAAGGATTTTTCAGCTGCTGGGCACGCCGTCCGACACGAACTGGCCAGAGGGTGCCGAGCTCAAGCTGAGGAGTATCGACTGATTGTCGGGATCATGGCTTCGACCCGTGAGTTGGTCTCACCAACTCGAGGTAGACCAAGCAGTCTTTAAAACGTTAGCATTTCGATGTGGGACATGCATCGTGCTTCTGAGAAGTATGCTGTCGCAACCATTCATCTTTGCACCATGATCTTAGATTCGATTTCTCGTCAGGTACGAAACTCTACAATTTCAAAGACAGGCCGGTCCCTTATGCCAGCTCAGTGTCTGTACTTTGGCATATCAGTTTGCTTCGTGAAGGTTCCCGAAATGGCCAGGGACAGGACATCATGTCTGACTGTCTTTGCCTTCTTACCGTATCTTTGTGACCAGCTTCGGAGTCGCCCACGAGGTTCTGCTCTGTCATATTGAAGTTCTGTTTGAGTGGGCATGCAGGACTGGCGCCAATTCTGGAGGTGCAGCCAGAGCTGCTCAACTGTGGTGGAGATGACCTCCTCAGACGCTTGCATGAGCACGTTGAGTGTCTTGGTGTGCGTGGGCTGGGGGCTGGTGCATCTGTTGCGGGGTCTTGGACAAATTACCGTTTGAAGTCGACACCACGACATGTGGGTGCACATACTCCAGAGCTGTGAGTCGTGCTTTGCCAGCAGTGTCATTGTATTTTGTTTGGCAGGCCTCGTTAGAGATACCCTGTTGATAATAAAGCGGGATGAAACGGCTGAGACTGTTTGTTGTAAACGGAAGACTGCCGAAGCCTTGACCGGCAAGTTACATGATAGCACTCGATTTTCCATGTCGGAGCCTTCGTGCAGACACTGTTATGATCACGTTGTAATCGTTTGGCAGTTGGCTTACTAGACTGTACGTGTATGAACTGATAAGCAATCTCAAACATAGCGGGTATTATCTTGGAGCTGGATCAGGCAAAGTACTGCGACTCGAATATGAATATGCAACATCTAACAGCCAACGTATGTTATTCGCAACGGCAGCGGCGCCAGTAAGAGGTCGTGGGTTGAGACACATTTAGCAGAGCAGGCATGAAGATTCGAATGTGCGAAACCGAAGAAAATACGCAATTTATGCGTGAAAGTGTAGTTGTGGCATTTTCTCGTGCGTTTAGGCGCATGTTTTGCCGAGGATGTTCAATTTTTAGACTTTTCGAGATGTCTCAATGTCAGGAAAATGAGGAACAGTACGGCAGGGCCACGAAGCTTGAGGGCCTTTGAGGTGTGAGTTTTCATGCAGTCAACGTCTCACGGGCTGTGTTTGTAGTGAGTCGATGCGGATGCAGGGCACAGAAATCGGTGTTTGCTAAAAGTTGAAAGCTCGTGGGAACAGTTGGGCTCTTTTTGTGATGCTTCAAGTGCCCTGGCTTACATTGAATAACAGGCTGCACTACAGGCTTTCGGCTTGAAGGCTTATTCTAGGGCCATCTTTTTGTCTTTGTGGTCGCAGCGTCTGTCTAACGCCTTGCGAGGCCAGAGCAGGACAAGCAATTGGGTAATCGCCCGGCATATAGCTGTACTCTGTACATCCTGATCATCCCAGCAACATGCGCGCCGTAGCGCAGCCATGCTACTGGGAGCGGAGCAAAAAATTTAAATGCAAAAGGGCGTTCGATCCGTAGATCAGCAACTAAGTGGTGGCTACATGTAAGGGTCCTGTCGTACACATCCGGACCAAAACATGAATCCCAGCGATCTCAGCAACTCCTGCCTCGACTCACAAACTCTCCAGCCATCCCGGATGTGGTAGGAGATCAGCACTGTGCGATGACCTCCCTGCCAGGGTTGCGTAGCATGCTCTTTGGTAGCATCGAAGAGAAGGTACTTCCCAATCGGATGTATGGTGCCAGACTCGCCATTAAGCATCCTGACCAGCCTCGTCGCGCAGCCAGATGCCACCCCCAGTCGTCCATTGGGAGAGTTGGATGATCACATTGTCAACCGCTCGGTGGTTATGAATGTCTCTGTGGATGACAGTCTGGACATCGTGTCAGAGCACTACTGTGGAAAAAGAGTTCCCCGGGACCACGCTCGAAACCAGAGAGGTAAGCAAAACGGTGACCCAAGGAAATAAAAGCGTTTCAGTAAGGAGGCCAGCATCACCACCATGGACGTAGGCTCCCGTGTGGAACATAAAAGCCTCGGCATCGTCCAAGTTTGTTCGCTTCCTGCTACGCGTACTGGCTGTATGGTAGCCCCGCAGCTGCTCGACCAATAACCGTATGTCGTCGTAGGACACAAGACCAGCCTCTGGGAGCCTGTGTGCCAGTCGATCCACATCATGACTTGGCTGCCCCAGGGTGTCCGGAAAGGAACCAGGCACCAGGCGTATACCATCAAATGGATCTTCCGGTGCAGGCGGCCCTCCGCAGTAGTGGGGGGAGCCCCCGTTTGCATACTCAGTCCAGCTAGTAATGAGTTCGCAGGTGTTGACTGGCTCCAAACTGCTAGGCGGCTGTTCGTAGACAACGGTGGTCGCAGTGGCAGAATCCAAGGAGTCAATTTCCATCGGCGCATCAGCCATATTGCACGCGGGGTCGTGTGAGGGGTGAGTACTAAACCACAAAGACACCCCAAAAGGAACGAGGGAAGAGGGGCCAAAAGGGGAAGTTGCAAATCTACCTGAGGTGCGCTGCTCATGGAAAACATGTAGAGTTGTAAGCAGCGGGCTGTGCGCAAGGTGATTGGAGCACGAGCAATGCTGTATGGAAGCAAGAAAAGCATGGCGCAGTCGCTGACCCACAGCATAGGCAGACTGATCAGTTGTTTGCAGCCACGTATGAACGTCTGCTCGGCTCTGATGATTGCAGCAGGATGCTGCGTTGCATCTAATTAAGGGCGCCCCGTGGCGTACCACAGCAGGCGCCAAGTCCAGCTAGGGGAGTCGTAGGAACCCGTAAAGATAAGCATTCTTATCGACCCAACTTAGCTCGGATTTTTTGACCGGCCTAACGGCAACCCCGTCGTTGGAAATAAAGAGCTGGCTTCCGCAGCTCAGGACACACTGATAGTGACCTGAGTCGAGCTGCAAGCCCGTGTGAACAATGGCAAAGATAACACGATAAGCGCAGGTGCGGATGCAGAGGCTCGCACCGCGCTCAAAGACTGGCATTTGCACGATAGCACCCGGCCTGAGCTCGATAGGTTGCTGCAGCTTATGGGCAACACCATCCTCAAAGCTGTAGTGCTTAAGCTGAATGACAAAACACAGGGCGTCTCGGCAACCAGCGCATGCGGGAACGTTTGCGCCTGCCAAAGATCAACGATGCTTTGCAAGGTGTTTGCCTGCACAGCTATCTGTATGGGTTGCCACAGGAAGGCACTATCACGGACCTGAATCTCGTCACCAACCTGCCGGCGTGACTCCCATGTGCCTGCCAGGATATCTGGCTCTGATTCGAGCATTAAATGGGCCCAGAATTCGGCGGCATCTTGCTGTCTGGACACATTGCGCCATGCACGCAGGTGCCGATTCCAGGCCAGCATGCCTGGCACATATAGCTTTTTCCGGGCACTACTTTGGCCAAGCTGGCGCATTGCGGGGCCTAAAGTCCCAAAGACTTCATCCGGGATTGGGTGCACCTGTGCAAGCCAATGTAGTGCAGTGATGCAGGAATTCAGATAGCAAACGTTATGGGGATTGGCTAAGTAAAGCGAACAAAGCCTGTGGACAGCTACTTCAGCTCCTGGTCGTCCTCGGCTTCCTTGCGCTCCTCCGCTTCCGCCTGTGCCTTCTCTTTGGCCTCCTGCTCCTTCTCCTGCTCCTTGGCCCGCCTGTAGGGATTCGTGCGATCCATCAACGTCCCGGCCAGCGTGGAGAGCGTGTTGGCCAGAGGCTGGCGCTTCATCCTGTCCGGCCGCATGCGGCCCCCGATGAGGCGAAGGCAGGCGCAGTCGCAGAGCTTCAGAAGGCAGGAGTGCAGCTCGTCGGCCAAGCCCCCTCTGTTGGAGATCATTAGGACAAAGGGGAGGACGTCGGACTTGTAAGTCTCGGCCATCGGCCGCGTTCCATGAAATTTCATCAGCATGCCCTCGACTGTGATCAGCTCGAAGATCCTCGTAATGGACTGCTTGACCTCCTCATGGGGAATCGGGGTTTTGATGGCGTCCACCTCCGATTCCTACTCGGTATTCCACTTTAGATACGCCCAGCTGGGGGGGTTCACTTTGGTGATCCAACCGTGGCGCGTCAGAGTGGGCCGAAAGTCCTCGCGAAGCACCATGTCCATTTTGGTCCGCATCTCCGTCAGCATGCAGATAATCAGCGTGACCCGGAGGCTTTGGTTTACCGCCCCTTCCTCCTTCTTCTTGCGCCAGGATTGGCTGATGTCGTAGAGGGTATACGCGTGATCGTGATGTTGCTCGTGTCCAAATAGAGCATGAAGGAGGTGTCCGCTCTCAACGCCGCTTCGGTGTCCTCGTGGTGCAAGGCCAGGCGAGCCAGCGTGGCAACTATCTCGCGGAGCTGGTGCCCCGAGATGTGGTTGCAAAGGTCGTCTTCCTCCTCTGCTCCCTTCCAGTCTTCCGTCCAGGCCGGTCGCCCCCTCTTTTGGCTGTTCCAGCCGCTCCACTGGCTCCCCTATTGGTTGCCCTTCCCTTGGTTGCCCTTCTGAGCCGGCTTCTGGAACTTGCGGGGCCGATCCTTGTCCAGCTGCGTGTCGCTTCCGGAGCTGCGTTCCCCACCCGTTGGCGTGAGGTGGCACGCGAAGAAATCCTGAACTTCCTGTTCGGCCGCCGTCATCGAGGGAGCGTCGGGACACCTGAGTCTGTGCATGAGGCAGGACTGAAAATACGCCGTGCACAACGGTGGATGAGAAGCTGAGCTTTGCGGCTTGAAGCCGCAGGCCTTACAGCTGCCACGGTAGCGCAGCTTGTAATGTGCTTTGAGCCGTCTCACCACGTCATCTCTATGCGTCCAATGCTCGGGATGCGTCCGTCGGATGTGATTTTTTTAGACCACCCTTTTCTTTGCTACTCCACTGTCCACAGAACGCGCAGAAGTTACTGAGGTGTTCTCCGTGTTTTTCCGCATGCTGCACCCAATCCTTATCAATGCTGCCATGATGCTCCTTTTGTGTGAAGTGAGGCTGCATAGGAACAGGCGGGGTGTCCACAGGCTTAAGTCTTAGTTCTGAGGGGGCGTAGCAAGGGCATGTCCCAACTTCTGCTTGCTTAGGCGCCAGGTTGCCTGGATCATTCGCAGCGTCAAGTGCGGCACCCCCGCAGCGGACTGCAAAGCAGGGGTGCCGTGGAGCACAGGACAGGTACTGAGAATGTGGCCCTTAAAGCCGTGCCACTGCCTAAAAGTTGCGTTACAGTGGCGACAAACTGGCATGCCATCCACACAGTGCGCAGTAAACATGCTGGTTTTCCGAAGATGCGGATCTTTAGACCCAGGCGGGACAAGACTAATGCCATGCTTTCTAGCGCAATGTGCTCTCATGATGCGTTGGTCGGGAAAGTATAACCCGCAATGTGGGCACGGCACACCTTCGCATGTAACGGGCGTGAGAGTGGAGCGCTCTAGGGCTCTAGCCTCCTCAAGGCGTGCCAGCGCTTTTTGCTGCCACGTTCTTTCGGCCGTGAGTCCCGGGAAAGACCCCTCCGTCAAGGTCTGCAGTGTCCGTAGCCTATTCTGGAGCTGGGCCTGTAAAGCATCCACAACCGGAGTACACTCAAGCCTTTGGTAGAGCTCAGCATTGGCCTCGTGCGTAATATGTCCGGGCGATTTAGCAATTGCTCGAATGTGCTTAATCTCGAAGCGCTGTAGGGTTTGGTGTCCCTTGTCCGGCAGACCGACTGAGGCGAGGCCGTAGAGGGCCGCACTGCGCACACAGACTCTATAGAGCGAGACTCGATGTCGCAAGCTGAGTCCACGTCTCGCAAAAAGGTGCTTGGAAAGGCGCGCCAGATTGGCCCTAGCAGCCTGCAGTCTCTTGTTGAGACTCTGTTCCTCAAAGTTGTCATAGCTCATAACAACCCCTAGGTAGTCAATTCGATCATCGACCCGAAGTAGAAGAGGCTGGAAAGGTTTGCCCATATTCAAGAAGTGCTCGTGGCCCTTAACGCTATACCTCTTATCGAACCATCTCCTAAGCGGCCCCCCATCAATTTTGTAGACAAACTTTGATTTGTCCGCATTTACCTGCATTCCGGCCTCTTGTAGCACTTCAAAGAGGCATTGTATGCGCTGGGCCATGGTGGTGGCATCGGCGATGGTGTACAGGTTATGAGCACAAATGAAGTCGTCTGCGAAGGCAGTGACATCTTGACGAACCCAATCGATACATGTTCTAGCTTCTAAACGGTGCAACATGTATGTTGTGACGCACACCCATAGCAACGGTGATAAAACACACCCTTGGCGGATGCCATTGCTCAAATCGATAGAGCCACAATGCGCCTGATGTTCTATGTGGTACTGCGCTTCGTGGATAGCCAGGATAAGGGTAATTGTATCCCCGTCAACACCCAGGAACTGAAGCGCGCTGACCAGGTAGCTACGACTTACCTTGTCAAAAGCTTTGCTCATGTCGACGCTTAACATAGCGGCTCCACTGGCTTGAGCACAGGATAATCCGGCGCGGCGCTCAAACACTTCACGGCGTATGGCCCCGAGTCTGGCTCTGGCCGCGCTGCAGTGCTGCGCCACTCTGGCTATGGCATTGCCCGTACTGCGATTTGGCAAGTACGCGTATTGTGCGGTCTGCTGAAGCTTGGGGAGGATGGCCGCAAGCAGTCTAGTCTTAATGACCCGGGCAAGGCATTTCCCTAGGGGACACTGTAGGGCGATCGGACGCAGGTTGGCTGGGGTCTTAGTGGGCTTATTGGGCTTCGGCAATAGGCGTAGCCAGCCGTCTCGCCATTCAGGCGGGAGAGAAAGTGTACCAGGCTGCAGACATTGACGAAACAGCTGCCCGACAACGGGCACAACGTCATGCTTTAGCAGCTTCCAGACTTCTGGCGGAACCTTGCCTTTGGGGACAGCCCGACCAGACTGCAGCTTTGAGAGACTTTGGAGGATCTCTGCCGTGATGTTATAGGGTGCGAGTAACCGAAGGGTGTCTTGGTGCTTGGGGTCTCGAGAATAGAGCTTCGCGAAGTAATCCTGGATATGTTGGAATTCTTGCTGTGGGGTTAGGAGCTTATCCTCTATGCTGCGTATCTGGATGCGCTCCCTGGCCGTCTTTGGCGCCAGCTTGCGCACACACGAGTATAGGGTGTGCATGTCGCCTACATTGGCCGCAGTCTCTGCTTCTTGCCATGACATCTCCAGTCGCTGCTTTCTACGTTCTTTGCCACGCTGTTGGAGTTCCCGCTGGCATCTGCGAAAAATTTGCCACTTGCGGAACGCGGCAAAGACTGCTGACAGGCGCGATCTCATACCTACGGCTTGCCGCGCACGTCTGTGTTCAACCATGGCTCTATAGGCGACCCACATACTTTTAACATCCGTGCGGGTTTCGGGGAGTTGCCAGGGTCTAGGGTCTCTATTAACAGGCCGGGTGGGGAACACAGTCTGGCAGCAATCATGCAGCACGGCATTCAGATGCGCTGCCGAGCGGATGGGTTCCTGTGAAAGGCGTGCTTGGACTGCCTGCTGCAGCTCATGGCAGCCGGTGTGACCTGCCGCAGAGCTTCTCGAAGCGTACTTCTGCAGAAGCCCGGCGGCGCCTGTCGAGGTGGTTGCGGTGCAAAGTAGGGCAGCTTAAGGGTGGTGACAAGTGCGGCGTGTTTGCCGCCTTGTCGCCAAGGGGAGAAGTTTATGCGTCGGTCTGGAGCGCACTGTTTGGCCTTGCCGTCAGCGTGTTCCAGATGTGTCAGCAGGAAGTCGATTTGACTCTTGCGGCCTTTGGCGTGTTCCTCTGCAAACGTGTAGGACCTGGCACGGTTTCCCCAAGTATTGAGGGCACAGAGTTGACTGGACTCAACCACCTGTGCAAACTCCTCCACGTCAGGAAAACTGCTGCTCCGCCCTGCGTCAGTGACAAAGGTTCCGGAACCAACGTAAGCACCCTGCGTGTTCAGGTTGTAATTAAAGTCACCTCCTACACATAAGACATTTCTCTTAGGCAGGTCGCGCAGGAGTCGCCCGAGCCTCGTCCAGATCTGTTGGCGCTTGGCTAGGCGCTGCTTCTGCGGATCCGCGTCCCAGGCCCACTGATAGACATTGATCAAATCGATGTGAGCTTGGTGGTTGCCCCTGCCTGTGGGGATTCTGACGTGTAGGACCCTGCCAGGCACTATGACGTTGTACCTAATGTCCTCCGGTGCAGAGATACGATGTGAAACGTAGATGGCTACTCCCGTCCATCGGTGCTTGGGGTCTGGGCTAGAAATGATTGACCAACCCGGGACCGTATACTCAGTGAACTCCCTGCCAAGCCCGTAGTGGGTTTCTTGCAGCATGATGATGTCGTATTGTTGTCCCTGCTCAGTGAGCCAGGTCATATATGTATCATGCGTGGTGCTGCGCATGCCGCCAAGGTTCTTGGAGAGAATCTTGAGCCGCCGATGGTGTGGCGCTCCGCGTCCAGTTCTCTGTTGCACCGGTGCTGCAGGCAGTAGGACTCGTCGTGAACCAAGCTGCTGTAAGGTCATGCTGCGCCCCCTATAGGTGGTGCAGCCGGTGTCGGAGTGTTGTGCTCGTCGAACTGCTCTTTGATACGCCCGCTTCGCTCTCGCGATTCGGGCTGGCATTGCTTTGGCCTCTCCACAATGGTTTGCCCGCTCTGGAACTCTAGGGCAATGTTCATATGTGACTTCAGAGACGCGCGTGGCACACGCCTCGACCATCGCATCTGGAGTCATGACAGTGTCGGATGCATTTTGCAGACTATCAATCCCCGGGGACTTGGGACCCCGGCGGCCCCCACTATTCTCCATTCGGTGAGGCAGCAGTCTCTCAGGCAACTAGTGTCTCTGCAGGCTGTGGTTCCAGTAAAAGAAGATTACGAGTGCGCCCAGGAAATGTAAGATGCCTAGGCCTTTGGAAACCATGAACCCTAGAGCAGAGCACCAATGTCCTCGAAAGGGGGGTGTTGCTCCTGACGTGAGAGCCTGCTACCGGGGGCTGTGGGCCGAGATGCTTATTCTAGGGCCATCATCATCATGATCACCATCACCGTCACCATCACCATCACCATCACCATCACCATCATCATCATCATCATCATCATCATCATGGTCAGCAAGGTCATAGTGTAGAGGCAAAGCATGTCGTCGTCATCCCCCCACTCCTCCCCAGCAAACTACCCGTAGTGTGAAACTGCTGCAGAGATATTGCTATGCAATCGCGATATCGTTACCAGTCTGCAGTGCCCGGGCATCGACTAGATGATCCTAGACCAGTCAGCGAACATGTCCGTAGCGGTAGTGTAGTCAGCAGGTGACAGCAACAATACTTGGTTTTGCAGCGTGTGAGACTGTTGTTCGGCAATGCATCATGGTTTCAGCCTGTACCCATGAGCGCAGGCAGACTTGAGCGAACTGCGCCAATGCACAATCAGAATGCTTTGGATGGAGGGCTTGGCTATCAGTGCCAAAGTTACAAATGCATGCAGACACCAACCAATGATGTCGGCGTAAACGTCGAAGGTACACCGATACACCAATGTCATGATAGGCCTAGAGCATGAGAGCATTCAGAAACTCTGCTGTGCACGGTTTGTATTGGGCTGTGCTCATTATGGAGGTTGCCCTATGCAGACGCTTGTGCATAGGGTGGGGCTTGGCCTTCCTGTGTGTTCTTTGCTCGTGACTGTCGTTTATTTGTGGGTGCTTCGTTTATTGTCCATGCATGCCGGCTTCAATTCTCGTCAAAATGACCCTGCCTACCGCCGAACTTAAAACCCCGCGGGAACCGTTGTTTTTAAACTAAAATGCCCCCAAACTGGCATGTGCATTTTCTTCCGGTCTATAGGGCGGAACTGAAATGCCCAGGGGCCTTGAGTGGGGAGCCATGTTAGTTTCCGCTACCGGCTCAGCCCTACCTGATTGACTGCTTTCCGATTTGGGCAATTCCTGTTGCTAGCGGCCATCTAGCCATTTCATTGCATTTTTTCGTATCGCGGGTTTCAGATGCGACCGATTGTTATAGAGTTGTACTATACGTATGTATATGTATCTAAACCTTAAACCTTTTCGGGTTGTCAGGCTTTGGGTTTCGGGTTCTAGGGTTTTGGGTTTCGGGTTTTCGGGCTCTTGGGCTTAAGGTTTAGGGTTCTCGGGCGCAGGGTTTGGGGTTGTAAGGCTTAGAGTTTCGGGTTCCAGGGCTTATGTTTAGGGTTCTCGTCGGGCGCAAGGTTTCAGGGTTTTTGGGCTTAGGGTTTCGGGTTCTTGGGCGTAGGGTTTCGGTTTAGGGTTTAGGGTCTCTGGGCTTGGGGTTTCCCAGCCTGGGGCTTCGGGTTTTGGGTTCCCGGCTCTGGGGCTTGGGGTTCTGTGAGGAAATTTTCCGCAAAGGAGGGTGGCATCGGTTTGTTTAATTGACCGCGTGCAGTCCCGCGGACGTGGTTGGGCTTTCAGTGAATTCCCACGGCTTCGGGTTTAAGGTTGCTGGGGTTGCGGGCTTCTGGCTTTGTGGGTCTAGGGTTTCGGGGTTGCGGGCTTCTGGGTTTAGGGTTTAGGGTTTCTGGGTTGCGAGCTTCTGGGTCTAGTGGTTTAGGGTTTGCGGGTTTGCGGGCTCCTGAGGTTAGTGGTTGGCTTCTGGGTTCAGGGGTTCTGGGTTTCATGTTTTAGGGTTTCTGGGTTCCGGGGTTCTGGGTTTAGAGAGTTTGTGGTTTCATGGTTTTCGGATGTTTCTGGGTTTGGGAGTTTGGGGTTTGTGGGTTTAGGGTCTCTGCGGTCAGAGTTTCTGGGCTTCTGGGTTTAGGGTTTATCGGTTCATGCGTTCTGGGTTCAAGGTTTCTGGCTTTAGAGTTTCTGGTTTCAGGGTTTCTGGATGTTACGGGTTTCGGCGCTCACAGCCGACTCAAGTCAAGACCACAGGTTAGAGGCTTAGGGTTCAAGGTTTCTGGGTATTCGGTGCCAGGTCGCATGAGGCCGCGTAAGTCATAGAGTCATAGCAGTTTTCCTCAGTCTGGGTCGCCAGGCTCGGCATGCAAGCGATCAGCAGCATTGGCGAAATCAGACATTAAATCTGCTGGTGCACTTGCTTCAGAATGCCAACATCCCAGAATCCGGAGACTATCTGGAGACTATCTTGCCCGAGCCATTTCAGTCCCCAGCCTGGGGTGTCCCATAGTGTCCGTTTGGAGGGGTTGCACTCTCATCTTGGGGCTTACACACCCTTCAAATCAGTCAGTGTGTAACCTGCACGGGCGGTCATTCGTCAAAGCACGAACACTTTCGGCTTTAGGATTTGAAGAAAACTGGCTTGGGATGAGGGGTTAGGCTTTAGGGTCGGCTTTTGGGTGTAAGATACGTACGGCTTTCTGCCAGCCAGCGGTAATTATGTGGGAGCTGTGGTCTCAAGTTGCTGCAAGACGTGGCATAAATTGTCTAAAGTTCACGGGGCAGGATGCTGCACCGATATCCACTAAGTTGTCATATCTGCGTCGTAATACTGACTTTATATATTGATATCACCTACACCGCTGCATTGGCATGTAATGTCGGCCTGTACCGCCGGCCGCACTAATGCATATGTGAGTGCCGACCTGGAAACCAAACCAACCTCCTGCTTGCAGATGCCTCTGCGAAAAACCCTCAAATACCGTAGGCACTCTACATATCCATATTTCTGTATTTTCACACCTTTATACTGCAAGTTTCAGTTTCTGCACATTTTCTGCCGAAATTCGCGAAAACAAAATAAGTTGCTGACCTATGCATCAGACTCCGCCAAGCTCTGAGAAGTCTGAAAAATAAAATTGCATCCAACTTCTGCCCATCGTCTTATGGTCGTTGTTCCAACCGGGTTTTCAATTGTCGTCGCAGTCCTGACTGCACATTTCCATACACTTACAGTACAGAACAACCATGATAAGACCCCAGTAGATAGTGATGGATGAGGGTAGGGTTGATTCGTATAGAAGAAGGCCTGCGATTGGCAATCCTTTGGAGGTCTGAAACCCTTTGGACTGTAAGAGCCACGGACGTAACATTGCGGAGACTACCAGGGTTGTCACAGCAAGGCTATCAGTTTCGATTGTTTGTGTTGTTGTCGCTGTTGAAACATTTGCAATGAATTCCACCTCATAGAAAACTTGGGTAGTTCCCTTCGTCTTGATACGATTAGAGCCGAACAGTCTGACTGGTTGAACATCGACCACTGCAAGGTAGAAGTAGAAGCATCGAGCGCGCTGGCTTATCTGTAGTGTAACTGAGCAAGAAGTGAGCATATCAGTATGTATAGATGGAGCTCTGAATGTGCAGACATACCTATCTGCGAGCACACTCGCAAGATTGATCCGTAGCTAGATAGCTAGAAGAGCTACGCGCATTTCAACATCAGCAGTGATGCGAAGCGCTGCCTTATTCAAGTGTCTGCGAAAGCTTCCAAGGGCAGCTGCTTTGTCTGCATCCGGCCCGGCGACTTTCGTCCCGAAAGGCCGACGAGCGGTTGATGAACAAATCCTCGCGTCAGAACCCAAGCTTGAGTTTAAGCTTGCCAGGCACGCCGCCATCGCTTCTGCGAGCGGAATGCAGATGCTGAAGCCCAATGAGATGCTCGCGTGTTTGCCGTGCTGATGCGGAGGGCGCAACAGGTCCAAGCCGAGGCCCAGGTCCACAACTGGCGTCTCTAAGCGTTCGGGTCGCTGCTGTTGTCCATGCAATTGAGTGCTTTGCCATTACAGACAAATTCAAAGGTGTTAGATCACATCATCTTTGTTGAGTTCCTGGCCAGAGCTAGACTTGACAAGCACGTGAGCAGCTCGCCAAGTTGAAGGGAAGGCATGATGCTCAAACACTTTTGTAATTGCTTCTGATGTATCAGAACTAGTGTGGCAAACTGATGGCCATGCCTACCAGTATTGGTTGTGGAAGAGAGGAGAATCCGACTCCAAAAACAAAGGGGGACCCTCGCGGCTGCGGGTTGCAGGTAGTAGATTTGACGATCAACAGTGGGTTTTCAGCAACTTCCAGGTTATTGAGTTTACCATTGACAATTAGGTTTTGCTCAAAGAACTGTGAACCCGCGCCCATCGATTTTCATGAGTAGTTGGGTCCCCACTGTCGACTTCGACTGAACAGCAGCGAACAGCACCGTGAGCTCTAGTCTGACGTTTGCACTATTGCAGTATTAGTGTCCGCGTAGGTTTGCTGTTCGTGGAGTGTTCTTTCTCCATTGCGGAGAGAGGTCTTTCTCAAACATGTGCCACTCCTGGCATGACTTTTTCTACATTTGTATCTCGGGCTCTGGCTCTGTCCAAGAGGAAGGTCTACTGCGAGCCAGGCCGCAGAGTTTGGTATCACCATGAGCAACTGAGCAACCGTCGACTTTCTTCCTCTGTTCTGGGGCCACAGAATCGCCCAATCTAGGACCTTAGGACTTTAGCAGTAGGTGGAAGAGCTGTCCTTTCGCAGAGGGGACATTCACTGAAGCCGTTTCGCTCCTGAGCTTGTCGGATGCAAGCCAGAGTACGGCAGCAGGGGAACAGGTAGGTGTGATGCAAAAGCTCGACCTTGTCAGTGCCTCTATATAGCTGGCCTCCCAGTCTGTGACTTCTGTGATGCTGCCTTATACGAGTTGGGTTAGCTAGTGCGAGTCGATGCTGCAGTCACTTCCCTGTCACTCTGCTTGCCAGGGGTTTCGTTAAGGGTGTGCGGACGTGACGTGGCATGCTAGGAGCTCTTTCGAACATTCCGAGTTGGCTGGAGATGCAATGCGCGATGAGACTACGTCGCTTCGGCACCCTTGCAAGGTTGTTTTTTGGATGTGCATTGCCGGAGTTGCGACGCAAAGGGCTAGGCTGCTAGGCTGCCGAGGGCCTTGGCCTGACGTTCCGGGCAGTGAGCAATGATGGCTCCGATGTGACTACGTTCGGCCCGTTCGGCTATGTGTTTTGCAAGAGTTGGTGACTTGTGTCTCCACTCCCCGATGACTTGAGAGCGCTCGCCACATAAGACAGGAAGCATCAGCAAGGAGTCTAGTCTAGGCTGCCAAGAAAGACTTCAGTTTTATGCACCCAGAAATTGGGATCTTTGTCCAGAACTGGCCACAGGCGTTTGAAGCCTTCAGGACTGCACTCCTCTGAAGCTTCCGTCCAGGAGAACCTGGTAGTTGCAGACTGCCACATACTCTGAGGCCTCGGAGGCCGTACCCGGCTTAGCTCTCCGGCTGAGCGCCGTGCACTGGCTCTTACGGCTGTGCACTGCCGTACACCTTCCAGAACCTCTGCCCAACCTCAGGGCTGGCGAGTCTGCCCCTTCTGGCCGTAGCAATGCTCCTAAGCAGTCCAAACTCCGAGACATTCAGAGACATCTGCAATCATCTGCAAGTTCAGTGCTGTGGAGCTTCAGCCCAAGCAACGGCCAGAGCAATGACTGGCAAAGGTGTTGATGCCTGATATGCATTGGCATGTTGTGTGTAAGTGTAGCTCGTGCATTGACTGACGTTACACAGCATAGCTTTGCAAGGTCCCTCGAGAGACAATGTCTGTGAACACACCGCGGTTACGCATGCTCGCTCGTGCTCCAATACCTAATCCAATCTAGGGCTTGTATCTTGCGGAATCAGCTTGAATGTAGAGCACTGATATATTGTTTCAAGCTGAGCCAGCCATCTGTCGCATCCTTAGACACTACTGTCGCCTTTATTTGCCGGACACAAAGCGGCTTCGGATTTTCGACCAGGCAACACCTCTTTGCCAGGATTTTGATTCGTATCGACGGTGTGATGCAGGATGTCTCATGAAAGGTGTCTGGCCTCGGGCATATATCATCACAAGAACGTCTCAGGCAGAAACCGGCACTCGTAAACCTTGCACGTGCCAGGTCGTTTCAGCCCCTCACAGGCCGCATCCTGCGTCAGATCGAAGATGGGGGACTGAGGCTCGCCAAAGTCCGAGACTGGGGCCTCGGCTGAGGCGAGGCGAGGCGGAAGATGGCGGAAGGGGAAGGAAGGGTCGCTCAAAGAAGCAGACCGGCCCAATTCTGAGATCGCAGTAGGTCCTTGGGGACCCTTTGGAGTTGCGACACTTTAACAATCCGGAACAGCTGGACCGTCGCTGATTAGTTTGAATTTGCTAATTAAATGGAAGCGAGTGGGAAATCCCTGGCAACCTACATCTTAACGGGGCTGCCAACACACCGGTCAATTCCATTGCTTGGCGCTCTGCCACGACACTTGGGAGTTGCAAGCGGAAGGTGCTGCTCCAGTCGTGACCATGCCGAAGGCAGACATGACGTGCCTTCTCGAGTCTTCAGCAAGGACAGAGCACCTTTCGGCGACTCCCCTTGCAGACGACAACCCGTTCCCGAGTCTGCAAGGTGGAACAAAGAGTACAACGCTCTGTTTGGCACGCAAGTGATGTAGCCCTGAAGCACAAGAGCGGCAAGCGCGCCGTGGACACCGCATCAGGCTCACTCACATGGCGCGGGTTCATTCACGCTTCGAACCTGGCAACCCCAACATGTGCTCCGATGTTTTCAAGCCGTGCTGGATCCCATTCACGACGGACGAAGCAATCGCCGAAGGCAACCTTTCTAACAGAGAACTTGCCCAGATCTAAATCCTGAACGAAGACCTCAACATCCTCAACCAGCATGGTATTCCAGACCAAATGCGGAACGGAAAAGAGGTCTCAAAAAAGAAGAAGAACACTTCAGAGCCCAGCACCAAGCCTATCAACTTCTCAACAGGCCGTCCCGGTCTCCCCCATCCTCTGTCCAAATTGCTGTGGCGGCCGGCGGTCGCTGAGAGTTCGAGGCCATACAAGCGAGCCATGTAGGTGGCTCGGTCGTGGCAGGGCAGTTCGTGCATCCCGAGGCCATGATCAAGTCTTCCAAGCCGGCGTCCTTCAGCAGCGGCATCATGCTCTCCAGGCAGGGCTTGATCTAAAGTCTGACCCCAGTCTCAACGGTGCTTACCCCTGACAAGCACCTGCAGGAGCGAAGCGCAGCGTCAGAAAGGCGATGAGCTGCGGATGCGCGCAGTTGCATGGCAGCATGTTATTGACAAGAACTTGGAACTTGGGAATGCCAAGGCCGTTTTAAAGACAGAAGTTTTGTGAATCATTGCAGCATGTCCCCTGCACTGGAAGTTCCCGTCGCCTTCATGAGGCGGGTATCGACCCGACAAAGGTGGACGAGCAGTGGGCCGGAGAGGCCGCAGGGCCGCACTGAGCCACGCTGAGCCCCGCTGAGCCCTGCCGTCTTTACTTTGCGTCCGACTTGCTCCACGAGGTAATGTCGAGGAGGCAGAAGAAGGAAGCTAAGGTAGATGAGGCCACTCATTGCTGGGGTCCGGAGTACCTGCATGGCTTTTTAAGGCTACTTGGTCAAGAAGCCCCTTCCTGGAATCTGGATGCAGCCTGCACAGGGTATTCGACATGTGGAAGTTGATCTGAAGCTCCTTAGCCATAATTCATATGAAAGGCCAACTGCATAGCCAAATATGTCTGCGTGAAGAGTTCCGCGATGGGGCGGCAAAAGTTAATTTTTTCTAGGTGAAAGATATCCACTTGCTGCAGTATGCCGCCGTACTGCTGTTGCTATTACAATGACTTTTGCCGCGGATACTACTACTACCATCACTATTACTTTTGCTATAGCTATTACTTCTACTATTACTATTGGCACTTTTGCTGTTACTGTTAGTGTTACTAGTAGTCCTCCTGCTGCTGCTGCTGCTACTGCTACTACTACTACTACTACTACTACCACTGCGAATACTGCTGCTATCAATTACTACTGCTACTGCCACTGCTGTTACAGCCAAGTGCCAACATAAGGTTCCTGTGCAGGGTTTAGCGCATAAGTTCCGCATAAATTTCGTGTAAGTGTCGTTATACCCCACGTGGCCAGATCTAGGCCAGGGCATTGTATAAAGCTCAGGAATCTAACCCTTAAGACGGCTTCGTCAAAAATCCAACCCTTAAGACTGCCTTAACCCAGCCCTTTCCAACTATTGTAGATTTCACACAGCCATGAAACCCCTTGGAAGCCTCCCAGAAGCTATTAATTGTAATGCCCGTAAAGGCTTGCCATCGAGAAGATTGTAGGAGGCTTTGCACATTCAGTTGGGGCTTATAATTCGGGGTCTAACTTGCAAGGGTATGCAAATATGCCTGCGTGAAAGTTCCGCGATGGTGTTACGAAAGTTAGTTTTGTCCGCGAAGAAGGTCATTCCGGGATGAAACAATTTAGATCAACAGCCATGTAAGCATGTGAAGCATGAGCCTCTGAACACATGGAAAGCTGTACTCTGTGTCAGGAGCAGGAGAGAGAAAAGAAAGAGGCATCCGATCTTCCGATGGAGAAAAGTGAGGCAGCCGTTGGCTCTTTCGATTGTTGTCACAAAAGGGGCCGGCAGAGATTAGATGGACATCCACCTCACAGGTTGTTGGAAAGAAGCCCGATGGGCGGCTGAAGTGGCTGCACAAGGCACGCGTATGCACGTGGGTTAAAGGTCAGGTTGTGAGGTGACTGGGCCAGGCGCTTGTCCTCGCCTCCAAGGGCCGAATCCCTGCTCCAGCCATCTACGACATCGCAGCTTGGCAGCGAGGAGCCGCGTTCTTCCCGTCCCACGTTCCCCCACGTTCTCTTGAGGTGCAATCCTCCAAGTTCACGCAAGGCGTCGGCTCCAAGGCCCCGAGGGGGCGGAAGCGGGGCGGAGCTTCCCTTCGCTTTCGCTTTCCTGAGGTGGGCATGCAGATGAAGGGCCTCGTGCTGGCCAACCTCCATCTCTTCAAGAAGGCAGGCTGACGGTCTGACAGTCTGGCGGCTGCAAAAAAACTGCAAGAATCAACTGTAAATTTGTGCAGGAGCAGCAGAAGAGCCTTCAAAATGGAAGGCGGGCGGACAGAAATAGCACAGCCATGTCTGAGGTGCACGCCGACACACCGCTTCAACTGGCAGATGTTTGGCACAAGGTTCACAGTATTGGCACATTATTTGTCGCCTGTAAATTCTCATCTGCTGTGCCTGTTAGAAGCAGTGCGCCCAGGCTACCGTAGTGTGGGCTTCTGCAAGAGCTTGCGTCATCCGATCTGCACGGAGAGGCTGATGGACTTCTCTGGCGCCGGTCCTGTCCTCAGTCAGGTCCAGTTACTAGTAAGTCCGAAAGCTGGTGGGCTCGAAGAATCTTTGACCCCCACAGGGGCGCGACAACTCGCACGACCGTTAATAATAAGAAGCCCCTCGACCCCACGTGATCCCAGAACGAGTGGCGTGATGTCATCATGCTTGGCCGACCTTTCTGCTGGTGGGGGTAGACCCTGCAATAAAAGAAGGGTACTTTGATCTAGGACATACCAGGCCCATCGATCGAGAGACAGGGCAGGGGCTCCGTCCGAGCAGAAGGCCGGGGACGCAGGCTGTCAGACTACTTCGCTCGCGCAGATTTGATTTGTTTTAGGACCTAGATGGAACTACATAAGATCAATACAGCTTTAAAGCGCCCAAACCCTCGGCGCTCTCCGCATCCTCCGCCCTTTACTCGTTCCTGATGACAGCACAGCTGGCTCTGTTTCCTGCGTGTGAGCACTTCAAGATTCAGCAGCAGTTTGTGCCGTAATCTGTGCGGAAGGATTGCAGTGCACAGATCACCGAGAGCATAAGCATCTTGCTGTTCCTGATCTTGATCACTTTCTTCAGCATCTACGGATGTCGCGGTCACTCTGGCTCTCACTCTCGTTTCAGGGAGGCACACAAACTGACGGCATGTGCACTCAGGTGGCAGCGAGTCACGAAGTCCTTCGCCAAAGAAGCGAAAGAAGGAGAAGGCTTCGAGTGAATCGGGGTTGGCTCAGGGCCAACCGGCGGATGCCCTTTGCCCCTCTTGTGAGGATCGCTCGGATGAAGAGGACAGGGAGCGGGACGAGGCCAAGCACAAGCCGCATCCTCGGGATGGTGCATGGATGTGCATGGTGCACAATGGTGCGCAGTGTCACATGGGCCAGGCAGCAATGTGGCAGACAGCTTATGCTGCAGTTTACCATGGCCTTGAACCAAGGAAAAGTAAGAAGGACAAGGACAAGGCCAAGGACTTGAACATGTTTTTATGCCGTTGTCCGACATGTCGGATTGGTATTGCGACTATTCCCATGGCTCCAGCGAAAAAGTCTCGGCATGGGGCTCTGTGGGTCGAGGCCGAGCACAACACTTGGCTTCCTTTGCAGTCGCCACCTGCCCGTCAGGATGTGGAAGATGGCCATTTCGACAAGAGCGAGGCGTGGGCATTACAAGTCGTCAAGCGTCACAGACGGGATGGGGGCGCAGGTGGCCAGCAAGAAGCCCTCCAGCCGACTGCGGTGGTTGCACGAGGCGAGTGGGCCAGCGACCAGAGCATACCACACCAAAGTCTGCCAAAGCCCGTCTCAGACTCTGCGTCGCGGCGATTTTAGGCCTTGGTCTCCGCCCTCGAGGGCCGCCTTGCTGCCTCGGCGATTTGCGAGGTCGTGCCACGTCTCAGCGCGTGGGCATGCGTGGGCCGACAAGTAGAGCTTTACAGTACAAAGTTTAGGGCTTTGGCAGTGCTTTTGGCATTGGGCTCTCGGACTTTTCTGTTCATTTCTTCGGCACAGCCCTGTTAGGCTGAGCAGGAGGTGCCAGCGTCATCGGAGGGGAACGTGTCTGCTTTTGACGAACAAGCCTTCCCCACTTTGGCCGTCAACACCTTGGACTTCAGGTGCGCTCGTCGAAGTTTGCTTCTGGCCTTGGCACGGAGGCCACAGAGGGATCCACAGAAGCACGGCAGGATCCGAAGCATCACATGGGTTAAAGATCAAGCCAGAGATCGTGCACATGAAGCTGCTGTCTTCTGTTGCGAGCCTTCAGGACCATTCTGCATTTTGGCTCAAGGTGGGTAGAGCTTCGTGATCACTTTAGCTGTCACAACTTGACACTGTCTGTGTGTGTNNACACACACAGACAGTGTCAAGTTGTGCTGTGTGTGTGTGTGTTTTTTTGTGGCATGGCTTTTTCTCGGGCGAGGAGGTTCCCGCCGCCTCCGCGGCATGGCGGTCCAGGGCCGGGTTCTTACGAACTCGAGTCCCAGCCGCTGAAGCCCCCAGTGGCTATTTGGGCGACCCAAGGAAAGCCGGCCGCGCAAGAAGCCGGTGCTGACAAAGCTGCAGGCAAATGATCTCAACCCAACCTTGCTGACCAGCCATGCAAGGCAAGCGCTCACAAGACGAGCAAATGTGGGGACAGAAATGAAGTTCTAGTTGAGGAACGGATTTTAAAGACACTGGGTGAGCACCCGAACGTCATCAACCTGATCCGCTTGCACGGTGACCAGCACCCAGTGAATGGGACCATCATCCTAAGCCTAGTGCTGCAACACTTGCCCGGCGGCACCTGGCAAGCAAGGGCTCCGCAGGAAGCCCCTCAAGCCACAGTGGCAATGACAGACGTCCTACAGGGATTGCAGCACGTGCACCGCTTCAAGATGGTGCACTGCGATTTGAAACCCGAAAATGTACTGTTCGATTCCAAGAACAGGGCAGTTATTGCCGACTTCGGCACAGCGGTGAATCTGACAGCTGAGAGAGGGGCTCATGCAGCACGACGCGGGGACGTCCGGTACGCCTCACTTGAATTTTTGGCAGGCCAAGAGGCTGACACGTCCACCGACATTTGCTCTGCCGGGCAGTCTCTGTGTGATGTCCTTCAGCCACCCAAGGATACCCCGCTGCTCGACGCAATTTTTAGCAACCCAATCGACTCAGACGAGATGTCGACACTGCCTCCTGTGCTTGCACAGTATGTGGCCGCCCTAGTCGAGAGGGAGCCATGGCACAGGCTCACAGCAGAGGCCGCAGCGGAGCAGCTGCAGAGCTTCGCTCTGCAGCTGGGCTCCTGATGACCTGAGCTTGAGCAGCTACGCCTCGGTCATGGGGGTGGGGGATCGGAGATGGTTCGTGGACATCCTGTATGCCATGCAGTCCCTGGTTCCGTGCGTCAGCAACATCGACCGCATGCAGGAGGAGTGAAACGTCCTGGCGCTAACGCTGGCCCGCTGCAACAAGGGTCACACTTTGCGAGTTTACGTCCGCGATGTTCGCTTCTCTGCGAGCCCTGCTGCCGTCGCGATGAAACTTGGAGAGAAGGTGGATGCCAACAAGCAGTTTTCCCCTCCCCCTACCACAAGTGTCTGCGCACTTTCCTCACGCTTGGACGACGACACCCTGGGAGTGTTCAAGCTGGAGGTGTTCGAGACCTTAATTGCCAATTCTGCGCAGTCGCAGCTCTTCTTGAGGACAGCTAATAAGCGGCTGACGTACATCATGGACCGACTTGAACGAGAAGGACACAACCGACCTGCCTGTCTCCGTGACGGGCGACGGGGACCTCTTGATCTTCACCAAGCTCGACATGATCTGGGACATCCACCAACTGTACTTCACACACGGTTTGGTTTCCACTTTAAGCACTCAGACATCCACCAGCGTGAACCACGCGACAACTTCGACCTCAGCTGGCTTTGACATGACAACATTCTGCTGACGTTGGAAATCGATGGGCGCGTTTTGCTTGAGCTCAGTTTGCGATGATCTTGAAAGGCTAAGGTTCATGAAAACACGAGTTCGATATATCGGGTTGGCGCCTCGGGGAGGAACTCCTGTTGACAACCCACACTCATGTTCCGTTCATTCTCTCTTGGGGTGGACTTCACCCTCCAGTGAAGTCTGAGTCCGGGTGGACATCACACGTACAGACCGAGGAGGCGTGTGATGGGTCCAGGAGTCTGCGTGCTTTACTCTCGACCTTATCATCTGAGATCCCCGGCCCACGGGCACCCACACATCAGATCCCCGGCCCACGCGGCATACAGCTTTTGAATACATGAGTTTAGCATGATGTTCCTTCAAGCCTTTAAGACGTAGGATGTCTTGAAGTTCGGGCTTGTGGCCTTGCTTACCTAGCTCTCCCATCCAAAGGCACTTTCTACCCAGAAGAACTCAGCACCGACAGATACTGCAGTGAGGTCGGGTTGAGAACCAAAGGCCTGGTCCTGGCCAACTTGCACCTCTTCGAAGAGGCATCTTGGACACGAAACGTGGTCAGGTTAGGCTCCCAACTTCTTGGACAGGAGGAGCGTGAAGAGCTGCAGCGAAGCAGGCGGCGGTGACACTTCACGAAGATGTAGCATTGGAATTCGGCAAGGCAACCGGTTTCTAGCCGTCTTGTGCCTGATGATTTTGGGGAGCTTTTCTTTTTCTGGCTGAAAATGTTAAGAAGAGTCTTGCGGCTTTCAGGGAGTGCGTGCTTGCCGCATTTCGTCGCTCGCCGGGTTGGGTCGCTTTGGGCGAACACTGCCACCCAAAACACGACCGTTCAAAATCCAAAGTTGCTGCGAAGGCTCATGGAGTTGGACCCTGACGGCCGATCTCTTAAAGGGCTTGTGCTGGAGCTTCTGCAAGCCGCGTTACGAGTTGTCAACGAGCGAATCTGCACTGCATGCATTGCATCGAGCTGATTTTACAGCAGATTTTGTCCCGTAAATCAAAATCAGAACCAGGCCTTACAGGAATTGTTGCACACTCTTTGCCTCCGCTCTCCTGCAAACACTAGACCCTGAATACTGTGTGCCTAAGTTTCGTTGGAGATTTGGGAAATGATATTGTTTGGAGGTCGGCTTCTGCTTAGTTTCGCGCTCAGGCTAGGATTCGTATTATTCACCTCGCCACGACGCCGTCCAATATTCACTCACTGCGAGAACGCAGCATCGACAGAACATGACAGAATGTCTACGTCCGACTCACAGAGACTCAGATCCATATGTGTCAAATGCAGAATCATACTGATGCTCGTCAAACATCCAAGCGGTGTTGAGTCAAGCAGCGCGACATTCGCAATCTTGACAGCGAAAGCAGAGCTGAGTGAGCACGCCACCAGAAACCCCTGGATGACTTGGCCCCTGCTACTTCCTGAAGCAACATGCTGCGGAATCCATACCTTTTATGCTGAAGCTCCAATGCAGTTTCAATTCCCGCTAGGACATGAAGCGATGCGAACATTCGCCGTGTTTTGTTGTGATTTGTTGTGTGGTGGGTGCTGCTTGTCCTCAGTTTTTTTTTCCGAAAACCCAAGAACCTGTCACTCAAGATATCAGGTGGCGACGATGCAGACAGCCACTTGCCTAGACTCCAAGTGTCGCAAGTTGTCTACCCTTTCGCTGGGAAAGACGGCCGAAGACCAGTTTAAAGACACTTCGGCTTCTCCGTGGCTGGAGGTTACAGCTCGCGAAGTCCTACGCCTAAGAAGCGCAAGAAGGAGAGCAATCAAGACGAGCAGCCGGGGTCACAAGTGTGCGGATGTCACGTTCGTTTTGCGAGGACAAGTCTGATCATGAAGATGCGAAGCACAGACGCTTGCACGAACAAGTGCACTGCACTTGCCAACTTAGAGCAACCAGGCTCGGAAAGGCTGAAGTCAACACGTCTTGAAAGAGTCACCTGGGCTGGGGCTTGAGGAGTCCTTGCTGTGCTCGTGAACAGGTGGTGCTTGCTCCGTGTTTAGCGTAGAGGGGGTTTTTGTGGCTGCTACAAGTCCAGAGATTGCCCGCCTGGCCCGTTTGCGAAGAGGAATTGGGTGCTTCTGCAAGGTTCTTACCTGCTTCGGCCTGCATCAGTGTCAATCCAAGAAAAGGCCTAAGCCGTAATGAAACTTCGGGTTTGGGCCTCGAGCATGCAATCTGTTTCGGTGGCCACGAGTATCGCACGTGCCAAATAGTTCAAGCTTTGGCATGACTAAGGAGAGAAAGACAAAGATAAGACCTCAAAGAAGCTGTGGCCCCAGCAAAGTGTGGCACTCGCCATGCAGCATGACTGGATTAAAGATATGGTCAAGCAACAGAAAGTATATAGAGTATACATTAGAAGACTAGCATTAGCATTACACGCTCTGTGGGGTACCTTTTACCATCTACTAGCCGGAGCTATGTCAGTATCGGTCCATGCATGTCAACTACTCTAATCTGTCTGAGGCAGTCTCAGTAAGAATCACTTTTCTCACCTCGGTGCGACCACAGGGATTTGCAGTCGTGTTCAGCAGCCAATAACGGTAATGCTATAAGTTGCGCTACTACGACCACCTTGTCCGGAAATTAACAGCACCCTGGACAGGAAGCACTGAAGTGCGCTGGTGGCCTTTCTGAACTCGAGAGAGGCCGCCAGTCAGTCATGCCACTTGTGTCGTCACAAAGAGTTTAGTGTCCGATTGGACCAGTCTTGGACCCACAGAAGCTCTTGGAGAATCATGGCACGGGGTCTGATCAGCCAGCGCAGCTTTGAGCGCTTGAAGGATTCAGGGAATTGTTGAGTCAGAGTGTGAACTTCAAGGCTTGTACGTCATGCGACTTTGTCTGCTCATGTCGCATGTGCACGCATGAGAGGCCGCCGAACTTCTGAGCGACGCTGACGCTGCAAGCGTAGGTCCTGATCAACCTAGACAGTGTGGTTGTGTGGGACAGGGATGCTGGTTGCAGATGTAGATTTAGTCGGGGGAGCAAATTCGATCGGGTGGTAAATCAGTCGCACGGGATTCTTGGGATGAACACACCCCGCATTCGAAACCCGCATTCGCCATCAAGTCAACATCGTGTGTGCAGGTTAGAACAGCATGCTGCGACAGGGGCCAGGATCAAATAGTTGCTGATAGGATCACATGTCGAGAAGCCCGGGTGCTCTGGGCATGCACATGCACATTCCGCCCTCCGATTGGCGAGACAAGGCGGGCCAGCGAGCAAAAGCCACGAGAGCCAGCTGGCCCACCGATATTTTTGGGATTCTACGAGTCATGTTCGCTAGATCGTCAATGTGACATTTGTTTTCTTCTTGGCATGTCAGTTTGTATGGTGATGCCAATACATACTGGCAGACGAGGCTTCTGCCTTGACACTCTCTCGAGGCTTATGGTGCCAACATCATCATCATCATCATCGTCATCATCCTCATAATCGTCATCATCATCAGTTGTTGATGTTGACCAGTAAGAATAGCTGAGTCATAGTAGCAAGAAGCATGTAATCGTCGTAAAAATCATCAAAAAAGAATCACCATAACAGTTGTAATCGTCACAATCATCAAAATCAAAATCATAGTCAGAATCATCATCACCATCAGCACCATGATCATCATCATGATAATAGCAACATGATGGTCTTACACAATCAGAAATCTCGGCGATAACACACTGTTGTGCCATAGCAATATATATGAACATACACACATATGTATTTGGATATCATACATGTAAACATAATGTTCATAGTAACCTTAATAAAGGGCGCCATCACAACAGAAATCAGAGCAATAAAGCAATGGTAATAATGATCATAATGGTGGGAACAACCACCATTTGCAATATTGGTAGCCAGAACAATGGTAATGACAATAGTAGCAATAAGCATCATATCATAACAGTAGTAGTTTTTACCACTACTACAACTACCACTGCTTCTACTACTACGACGACGACTACTCCTCCTCCTACTACTACTACTACTACCACTACTACTACTACCACTACTGCTACTATTATTATTGCTACTATTATTTCTAATGCTTATAATAATGTCAAGATTTCCATGAATAATCCTTATCGTATTACTGATAATATTGCAAATGATCATCTTAAGCACAGCAAGAATAATAGTAGGAATCCTATAAGCAACGAAGAATAAGACTAAGCATCAGAACAAGAACAATTATTCATACCAGTAATACCAATAGGAACAATAGTCATAACAGCATAATTGTAATATTGTTATTCAAAACTATCAAAACTATGGAAGTTCATAAGCTCCGTGCCAATGATGGTAACCGTCCGAACAGTACTAGCAGTAACGATGACAGTAGGAAGAACCATAATACAAGTGATTATAATCACAGGAGGGGTAGCACTTGTATTACCATCATGACGGGTGTCATCACCATCCCCAGCATCATCACGGATACAGCTTTTCTGGAAGATGTCCCTGAACCACCCCATTGACATCATGGCTCTGCCACTTCTCGCCAGTTGCATCGGTTGTCGACAATCAAGAACGTAGACGCATTCAGGAACCAAGCCCGCAATTCAGGCACGGAATTCAGCATTTTTTCCAGGAACATCGTGCAACGAGAAATTCAGGCACCAGAATCCAGGAACCAGGCCGGCCAATTCCGGAACCGAGCCAGCAACATTCACGAACTGGGTCTGGGTAGGGTGTTCTCAGGTTTGACGGTTCACAGGCTGCACAGTTCAGGGTTCGGCGTTCTTCTGATGGGGTTCCTGGTTCGCCAGCTTAGGGTGTAGGGTTTTCAAGGCTTGTAGGGTTTCGAGGAGTGAGGTTTCTGACCAGGTTCAGGGCATGGGTTTCTTCAGGGTTTAAGATTTCGGAGGTTTAAGGTTTAGGCTGTCGCAGGGTTAAGCACTCAGGGTTCAGGACTCAGGGTTTTCCAGGGTTTGTGGTTTTCCACGGTTCAAGGTTTGGGCTTCGGCTTTTCCAGGTTCAGGGTTCACAAGGGTGTGGGGTTCACAGGGTTTAGGGTTTAGGATTTTTCAAGTTCGTTTTGGCTCGAGGTTTTTTAGGGTTCTTGGTCTTCGGGCTTAGGGTTTGGAGGTTTTTGAAGCAAAAGTTTACTGGCTTTAGATGTATTTTTGAATGCTTTTAAATCCTACAGTTTGAGGAATTGATCCATTGGCAGGACACCATAGCAAACTTTTTGTTATAGCACGTCTCTCCTATCTTTACGTCCATACTGTTTGGGGTCTTCGCCGGCGCTAATCGAAGCTGTAAGGTTTGGGGGTTTTTGCAGGCTTTACACCTAAATCGACCCGCCGCGCCGTCCGTCATGTCTGACTTAGCAAAGGCGTGGCCGCAACGCGCAAGCACGAGTGCGTCCTGCCGCGGCCGATTTGTCGCGACTCGGTTCTCGAATTGTCTGTTCCGGGTTGTGCGCGTTGTCCGGGAATCTCGTTTTTGAATTCCGGCGGTTTCCGTATTCTAGCGCTCAAATTTCGTGTCTCAGTTCCCGAAACTGGTTCGCGAGTATCATGGCAGCCGACACATCAACGCATCACCTTGGCCTCCTGCCTGCGAGTGGTTTATTGGCACCTGCTGGCCCAAGTTTGTAGCTTGGACTTAACATTGGGGTGCGGAAGTGACGATGCATCATGCAGAGCCTGTCCAGACGGGCAAAGCCGGGCCCCAAGCCAACGGCCACAACAGTGCTTGGCGAGATCTTACCTTTGACGGGCAAAAGTTGGAACTTCTGTGCAACTGCATGTCCGAGGCCTCATTGATCGTATTGCATGCCTTTGCCAGACGAGGCCCAGGATAGATGAACTCGGCACGTGTGCCAGCAGGCTTCGTGTGGCGACCTCAGTTGCATCCTAGTCTCTTGCTTAGAATATCTCTGTCATGGCGACTTGACACTGAGGATATTTCGGACGTAACCTGCGTAAGCTTCCCGTGCAAGTTTCGGTCACCGTAAGTCGGATCCTGCCGCGGCGCGGCCGTCGGCTCCAGGAGATCCGCCGCGGATCGCAGAGAAGGGCTTGGAGCGCGATGTTTTGCGGCCCCACGATCCGATTCGCGCGTGCGGCTCCCTCGCCGATCGAACTATGGATGCGTCGCAGCACCCCATCGCACCCGGCAAGAAGTGCTCTCCTACATGTCAATCTCGAATCGTACCGAGCTCGCAGCACTCAGACTCTCATAGAGCCCCGTTTGCGCACCTAGCCGGGCATCCCATGAATTGAAAAACCCACTTGCGAGAACGAGGCCGGAACTGCCGCCAGAGGGGGCGGCCGGTGGTGCTGGCGACAGGCACCAGAAAAGCTTGCGCAGCTCATGCAGCTTGTTTGTGCCTGGTGCTCTTTCGCGCTCTGAAAAGTCCAGGCATTCCGAAAGCTCAGCCTCGAGGTCCAGGCCAGTTGAGTTTAGGGACGAAGTGTCACGTGTTCCAGTGCTCGTGAGGAGAAGGCCAACTCACGTCCTTCTATTGCTGTTGCAGCTCAAGGGGGTTCGAAGAACTGCCTTTGCCCTTTCCGCAACATGATGAAGCTGCGGCTCTCCGCCGCTGGCGGCGCTGCCCAGGCCTGGGACGTGTAAACAGTCCGAGCTTTGGACAACTTGTTCAGCGCCCATCTTGCTTGAGGGGTCGTAGCAGTCCTTGCAGCTAGCAGCACCACAGGACGCGAGCTCTCTTGCCAACATTGGAGCTTGAGCTCTGTGCCGTAATTCCTTACAGGCCGCCCATCCACGAATGCTGCTGGCTGTAATCGTTCTTCTCACTCAAGCTGCCTTCGCGGCGAAGGCTCGCCAGCCAACTTCCAGACTGTCAAGTCAAGATACCACCCAGTTGTGTGTTCGCATTCCCCGATGTGCTGGCAGGTCCACAGCACGAGCAGAGGAGCATATCTGCCAGTCTGACCAGATCGGCCAATGTCGCGATCATGATTTGTTCGACGGCCTACCCTCGTCGTTCTGCAGTCGCAGCGGGTCCAACACAGCTAGCTCTACTAACATGCTGCAGCGCATGCCCTAGTAACCATTGAAGCGAATTGGTCGAACAGATGTTCGGACTCCGAATGCAGACATCGTTTGAGAGCCTGGGCCAGGAGTGTCCATGTCCTTCGATGATTTCATTTCCCTTCATGGCCGAAGCTACCGCCAGGGATCTCAGGCTGGTGCTGAACAGCTCATGACTTTGCATCTTGGGATCCGTCAAAGCAGGTTTTGGGTCGATGACAGTACGATTGTGTTTGCGGGTTGCTCCTCAGGGCGTTCACGAAGGCATTTCTGTTGCGTCGGCACCATCATGTGCCAGTTGGAGGTTGAAAAGGATCTCATGCCTCTCCGGCGCAGACAAAGGACGATGCCGCATGCCCTTAAGCACTGTCAGCCAGGAGTACGAGGAGCGCGCTGCTCTCTTCGAGACTCGCCGAGTGGCCGCACTCTTGCAAAACAACAGGCCAGAAATGCAGGTGAGCGTGTTCTGTTTTTTGGGGAAAGAAGAGTGACTCTGTCGGTCACAGTAATGTCAAACGCCCTCTCAGAGTCTGCGCAGAGCGATGCAGCGGCGATGCAGGTCTGATGCGAAGTGGTCCGCGGCCATTAACAAGTTTTCCGATCGCAAGGCAGCGGGGCCTCTGGCCATGCCTGGCCTGCTTAGCTTAGTTTGGGGGGCAGGACTCCAGGCAAGCTGCAGCGTGCTGATACTTCCTGAGATGCGTGAGATCTTCAGCCCCAGCAACACCGGATTTCAACCGTGCGATGATGCGCAGTCTGCAGACGTGTAGAATTCCCATCGCAGGAAGAGGAGCTGAAGGTCATGCATGGCTACAAGCCGGCGCAGGCCGCATCAGTGTTCCGTTCGAACCGCTTGTGCTCGGAGTAGATGAAGAGTCATGCCATCAGCAGAGCCCGAGAAAGAGGCGCTCTGGAATCGAAGAGATGAGGCCTAGGCCCTAGGCACCCCGCTTCTTGTGGAAGTGGCAGGTGCGGCAGTCGCAGGGCCTCTCCTTCGCTGCCGAGGCTTGGGGGCCTGGAGGCTTCTCTCACAGGAAACCTGCATGCACTCACCGCATGCAGGAGGAGGACCACTCCAGGCTGAAGTCGGCCTTACCTGAGAAGGCCACCGGGAGGGCACAAACAAGAAGTTACGAGCTCTGATGCATCTCGTGTCACTTTCAACTAGGCTCGCACTTCATGCGATCTCGAGCCCTTGCACCGGCAGGTGGATTGGCGCCACTTGAGCGACGGCCAGACCATCGTCGAGCAGGGCGGTTGCGGCTCTTGCTGGGCCATCAGTCGCATGGCTGCATGGTATCCCCTCGGCCTCGCAGCCACGGCTCTCATCGCTGTAGTTGTCAGGACACCCCACGAGCTTGTCACACAAGACCTCCTGCTCAGGGTAAGTTGCAAAGCCGTTGAAAATCTGTGATGGCTTGCGCCTCTCAGCAGGACACGTAAATGAAGAGTCGTCCCCTGTGACAGACACCTGTCCAGGACGACCAGTTTGCCCCAACAGAGAGAACTCTGTCTTTGTGTTGCGGGAAATCCAACCTTTGGAACACAGGTGGTGGGAAGCACACGGGGCAAGCCACATAATCATCGTGAAATCGCGCACTCCGGAGTGTTTCTTGGTTCGAACTTTCGATGTTTTGCAATATCGGGGCTCGTTCCCTGTCCGGCTCGTAACCGGGCAGCCCGGAAAGCAACTGTCCGAAGGGTGGGTGGTTTTGACCTCGCGCGCTCACAGCCACTGATCACCCTGGAATTGTTCTTGATGCCCCGATGGGCTGGTTTTGCAGCTGTTCGTGTCCTGAGTTTCTCGTTGTTCTTTGCAACTTGCAGGATGGTTGGGCAGGGTCCAGTTGCAAGCTGAAGCTCAGATTGCTGTTCGCAGCTACAGGCTCCATTCCAGGTCGTTCAGTTGTCGCCAGAACGAGGCGTCTGTGACCCTAGTGACCCTCGATCCTGAAGTGCATTCAGTTGCATGCACTTCTTGACCCATCCCTTGAGGAGTACGGTCTCAGACAACTCGCTTCTTTGTGAGTGGAACGGTTTTCTTGCATTTGTACGATCGTTTTGTCTGCCGCACTGCTTTGGCCAGCTGCTCCTCGATCTTCCCACTCCGTGAGTGGCCGAAATCAGCCGAGATGAACATGCCCTCTGGGATTGAAGCGATTGCGTGCCGCTCAGGTTGCATATTTAAGCAACGGCATTGCAACAGCTAAACAAGGTATAGTCGCAGTGTGTCGCAGTTAAACAGCCGTGGGAAGAGCCAAATGCAGGTACCGAGCCCGATATGAAAGACAATGCTTCACTGCCCTTCAGGATGGGAGCCTCTTGGCTATGCAGGTCGCCCTGCCGTCTTCAACATGACCGTGGTGCAAAACGCGCCCCAAACCATAGGGCTTCACAAGCGCAGGTGAAATTACATGCCAGTACCAGCCCTGTACACCGTTCGAGGGGCAACAGCGAGATCTCAGAAATTGACGCTGTCGTAGGCCCTAGATTGGCCGTGCATCACCGCGCGACAGCCAGCAGGTTGATCCTTGCGAAGCCCTCAGCGGCCAGCCTCGGCCCAACGAAAATTGAATCGTACCGCAGGCTTGACACGAAACCTCAGAACATAATGGATCTTTGTCCAAAAGGTGCAGGACGAACATGGAGAGAGCGACGACGACCAGGGTCGGACTTCACCCTGTGTGCCAGCGATTGCTGACGTAAAGAGTGCAAGGTTGCAAGGCAGTAATGGGCCGGCACGTGAATGACTGATGCCGTCGCAAATGAAGCGAGCGGAACAGCGACGACGAAGCCCGTCGTGTACAGATGAAGGACTTTAAGTCGCATTCGGCTCCGGAAACGAAGCGAGAGAAACTAACTCCAAAACCAAAGACACATCAGTGCTTCAGATTCTCGGTCATGGAGATCAACGACGAAAGACGCTCCGTATCGAACAGTCTCGAAGTGCCCCGATCATAGGCAGAGCGCTAGCTTCGTGGCCTGTCAACGCCTTGGCATTGGATCCCAGCGGTGAGCGTAGACCGTCGACCGTGCAAGAGTTTAGTTGTGCTCCCGGTCGACCGTCGGGAGCAGTGGTCCAACCTCGTGATGCCTGCTCTTCATCAGTTCTCTGTCAGCCGGACTCAGCGATGGCACCTAGCAAGAGGGTGCGGAATCATGTTGGGGCGATCCAGTGACGTGGGTACTCTGCAGACTTGTTTTGATCTTGCGGGCAGTAGGTAGCCAGGTAGCGTGCCACTGAGTGCCCGTCTGAGAGTCTCAGGTGCCACGACTGTGCTGAACGCGCACAGCGAGATCCACCGTGGCCGGCCAAGGATCCATGCAATTCGGCTGGCCATGGCTGTCCTAATCCTAACATCAACTCCCTAACCTCTGCAATCTTCAAGCTATCCGAGATGAGTTTTCTCGAGGAGATTCTCAAGCCAGGAGTTGGTGAACTGCGCTCGGAGCCCAGGGCACGGCCGAGGATGCAGGACGCACCTAGCATCTTTTTCCGAGGTGCCCAATCCGCAGGAATGTGGCGGCCAGGCTGGGTGCCCGCGGAACGCAGAAGATAGAGCAACAGACACAGACGGTGTGTCCGAAAAGCAATCTCACGGAACCTGTGTTCGAGATGAGCCTGGGATTTTCCGCCCAGGGCGGATGCAGTGGGGCCACGGTTGAGCTGGGCATTGGCTGGGCGGTGCAGTGCTGTGGCAGAAGTTCCAGATTCATGGTTAGCGGCTTCTGATGTCTTATCGGGGGTTTCAGTCTCAGAGCTGCCGGATGTTGTTGCAGCGACTTTGTGAAGACTGTTGTAGCCATCCTGCTGTTCAGGCATGGCCTCAGCCTGGAGACATCCGTGCCATATTCGGCACAGGCTTGGAGGATTGGTGAATGGCAGCGGGTGTCGGCAGTATCAAAGCAGTGGGCTTGAGAATCGTGACGCAGGGGGCAACGAGAAGCGTTGGTAGCTGGTCGTACACACAACGCAGCCTACAGTAGCGAACTGGCATATCGGCGTTGACAAACGGGATGGTGGCGGTGTTGTACTTGTCAGCATGAGTCATAGCAGTCCTTAATTAGGCTGAGCTGATGTTCCGGACTCATGGCCGCACTGCTTCAGGATGGCACCTGCGAGAATTCCTTCCTTCAAGCGCAGGCCACGAATGTGCAAGCCGGAAGTGTCTGCAAGCCTACCGGTCAGGCCCTAGACTCCAGACTAGACTGATGAGCTTTGGTTTTCTACTTTGTCCCGGCAACGGGCCAGGGCCTTCGTGGGGCCACAGCTGGAGGAGCTTCCTTTGGACTGTGCGCTGGCTGCACGGTGTCAGTCGCATCTGTCGAGGTGCAGACCACGTTGCATCCTTCGTCATGCAGTACATGCGCTGCAGTTAAGGACCGGGTTCCGCGTGCTCCCCAGCAACAAAGAGGACGCCTCGCTTGTGACGCCATGGCTGCAGCAAAGCAAAAGCAGACTGGAGAGACGTATCGCAGCTTGCTGGGAGGAGCCACTGGCCAGGGCACTTGTCGAACTGGGTCCGGGGCCCAACGAGGTAATGAGGGAGACGGGGACAAGCGTCGAGAGAAGGGCAATGGAGAGCTAGAGCTTGACGGGACATGTAAACGGAGTCCTGAACAGCTGCAAGTACTCCAGGACCTGTGGCTGTCTCCGTGGCAGCCAGCAACTGGTTCAGCTACGAAGGCAGTTCGCAAGACGGATGAGTTTTGCGTCCTTTCGTCAGAACTCCACGGATGCAGTGAAGCACCTCAGGCGGAGTCTTCGATGAGTGTGACAACATCGTGAATCATGACGCTGGGCAGCATACGCATGTACCTCCGAGTGGTTCTGAAGCCCAAAATAGGAGAAAGTACTTCTATGTCCAACGTTATAACGGCTCAGGATGTTCCCGGGTTCAAAATACACAACTGGGATGCAGAGACGGAAGTTGTTTTGGCGGGGCTGCTCTGCGGAAGTACCGGGCCGATGCAGTTTTCGTGCGAGATGGGCGTCGTCCCTAACTTTGCGAGGGATGGTGCCATGGGTTGGACACGGCAGCCGTGACAGGAGCCTTAAACAAGGAGTTGCGCACTGGCGGCGGAATCTGCGGGAGCTTCATCCGCGACGCGTGCCGAGCAGATTTAGCACAGCTCGCGTTCTGCCTTGGTTGCGAGCTGAGGCTGTTGCGCTCTACGGATACGGAAGGCTGTCCAGGGCTTTTGGATGAAGTTTTGAGCCAGAGGCATGCATTGCTTGCGCAGGAGTGACAGCCATCGGTTTTGGCTCGTGAAGAACTCCTGGGGTTCGGACTGGGGCGAGAACGGTTGCTCGCTGCATTTTCCCAAACGCAGTGGGCCAGACATAAAAGCCACAGACAGCGCTGTGCTGTGGGACGTCATCGCTTCTTAGGCACACACCCTGTTAAGAAGAGAATTGCACGCGAACTTCGGCGAGTAATTCGTCTTTTGCGAACGAGGCTACATCCGCCTCCTGCGGCATGACAGTGAGGACCAGCACTGTGGTATTGACACGGAGCCGGACAAAGGCCAGAGCCTCGGCCGTGGGATTCTGCATCTCTCCATGTCTCAACGATGATCAATGCTTCAAATGCTTCCCGTGTAGTGTCGTGAGGACACGCAGTCCGAAGGCTAGAGTCCCTAGAGATGGCTCGAGGCATCCAGTAACATCACACGCCCTGCAGGAATCGCTTGCAAAGGGGGCCCGAAGGAGGTCACTGCATCTCGGACGAAATGGGACTTGCGATCTGGATTCCAAAGGAAGCTTCACTGGTGAAGGTGTCCTTACCAGGCCAGAACCTTCCCATGTGCAAAGTTGGCCGGCAAGGTGAAGTGCTTGACTCTGCACTGCTGCTAATGTGAGCTTGGGGCTTGATCGGCCATACCAGAAGCGAGTCTGCCCTGCAGTAAGGTGTGTGGCACATGCGGAATCCTCTATGATTCTGTCGTGCCACAGAGACTTTGTTGCAACGCAGCAGAATGGATCTTGAAGCTTGAAAACATCAAGCATGCTTTCCTTTCGAGCGTTTGTTTCGAGGTTTGAGGATGCGAAAGAAGCATAAAGACCCTGCAGGCTCGGCTTTACCACAAGTTAGGCAAGAGCGTGCTGCATCTGTTCTACAGGGGTATCGGTACGGAATGCACCGGCTGCCAGTGGCCTCTGAACGGTTGCAGGCTGCATCTTGAATCCGGATGCTGGCGTGATCAATCCCTCTACAGCTGCTTGTGCCAATAGCCTGATGCACAGCTAGCCGTGGTCATTTTCATTTATGCGATGCAGCATGCGGTAGTTCCCAAAAGGAATGATGCCGCAGCTAGCGTCCGAGTCTTTGTTGCCAGAACTGGAAAAGGTCTTTGATACTGGCCACATCAGATTCCTGCCCACTGTGTGGCAATCCTGCCTGAGGTTCTGCTGTTTCAAGACCCTCGCGTGCTCGCTCCATTGCAAGGTTTTCTAAGAAATGACAGAACCTGAAAAGCTAACCTCAGGCTGGGAGAATGAGTTTCTGATGCCCCAGCACGAATTAATTCCGTCGCAGATGGGGGCTTCAAGTTCTGAGCAGAAATTGCGCGTCCTATGGTTTGCTGCTGGCTGCTCTTTCCGGGATCTCTCTCTCTCAGCTGTCAGAACGAATGTTGCATGCTACGTGTTTCTGTTCACATGGGTGGGGTACCACCGATGCAAACTCATCGACAGCAGATGTTTTTTCAGATTGTTGTAACGCGCCAGCTGACACATATAATGGTCCATCCAGCTGGAAAGCACAGAAACGTGCTGGCTCCTTGTCGTGACAGTTGTGTCAACCAGAAGCTCAGAAGCCATCACAACATCCCAACCCCCGGAGCCCCGAAGGGACAAGTGGATGCGAACCTTGCAAGTGCAACGTGGGAGGAGCCCCCGGCGTCGTGGTCTAGACAGCAGTCCCAAGGCAGCTGGATCTCGATGGAAGGAAACACTGACTCTGCCAATTTCTTCAGATCTTGCTACGAGCATCTTCACAGCTCCAGGTGAACAGCTTCTCCCAGCGAGAGGCTCAGCGACGCACCATCCTCCGACAAAGGACGCCATGTGGTGTGGCATGTGTGGCTCCTTTGAGTCTAGATAATGCGGGTTTTGAGGGTCCCATTCTTGCTCCTACTGTGGAAGTGCGTGCTTTTGTTTAGCTCTCAGCAGGACCAGCAGCACTGGAGATGGGACTCCTCGAAAGAGCGCTCTTCGGCGCCGCCACTCCGAAGTGATCCGGCTGCATTCCACTGTTTGATGCTTTCTGTCTCAGATCGGCTCTCTGTCACTAGTGACTGGCCAAAATCTTCAAACCGCTTTTTCTGCAGTTGAATGATATCTGCCAGTGTAGAGTTTGGGCCTCAGGTGTGCTTGACGCGCACCCCATATGATGCAGTGGATGGTACACATATCTCCAATCTCAAGGTATTCGTAGCACATGCCACATGCAAACATTTGGCAGCGTTCATGACGTGCTTATGGGAGTCTTATGGGGTGGGGGAGGTGAGCTCTGCTCAGCTTCGGCCCCCCCCGCAGGGTCCGCAGATCACCGTGCCAGCATCGATTACAGAGGCCCGAGTTGGAATGCATTGAATCGGTCCGGGGCTTCGGTGGAATAGGAAGGTAGGGTTGAGGTCCACCCTGACAGCGTTGAACAGAATCGGAGCTTCTAACGGGCACTGTGCAGCTTCGTCTAAGCCCTGCAAGATTGGCCTCAACACCGTGGCCGTCAAGCTCGACGGGTTCCACCAGACAGCTATGGTCGCTGGGTGAGTCGGTTGGGTCGGAGGTTGGCTTCAGTTTTGCTCTTTATGGGCCGCCTTCTTCGGCGTGGAAGTGGGTGATTGATCTGAATGCGAGGCGTTTGTTGGCCGTGGCTGGCCCACACCTACCTGAAATAGACTTTTCAAGACCCGTGCGAGGATGGCCTGTACAGAAGACGTCTGGTGCCTAGTGGCACTTCGGGCTTTTGGTGTCAGACCCACGCGCATCCTGCATGGGGTAGGGACTTCAAAGCCATTAGTTGGGACACAGTCGGCTACCTTCTGCCGAGGTGAAACTGTCGTGATTGCCGACCATCCCACTTTCTTCCAAACACCAGGCCAACCAACACGTTTTCGGGGATACCTTTTTCAATCCTTATCTTGTTGCATGCTCGTAAAGTAAAGCTGCCTAGCGACAACCCTCATTTCTGAGGTGATAAGATGTTCCTGTACAAAAACATGGAGAAACGTGTCTTGGTCAGCACTTTCAACGGCAAATACGGTTTGGAGTAATGTGGACACGTAGCAGCCTGTGTCTCCACTGGGTTCTGGGTTCTGGAGCTGTGACAGGGTGTGCAACGTAGTCCAACAGCCAGACCTTTATGTTGGCTCCTGCTCGCCGTGGAAGCATGCGAGGATGGGCGATTTCTCCAACAGCCCTTCGAGGCAGCCTGAAGAAATTTCCTTCAGCCTGTTCCCTGCGCTTTGCGTGTTCAGGCAATGACTTGGTGGAAGCCGTCAAGCAAGGCACAGCGCAGTGAGCGCAGAGTGAGTTCCTAAGCTTCTGTGGCGGCGCTTCTCAGTCTCAGGCGAGTCGCAGGGCGTCGCCTGCCAGAAGGTTCCAGATCCGCAATTCATGCTGACAGGAGTCGGCTTGCAAGGTTAAGCAGAGATGTGCGGCAGCTTAAGCCTTGAGCCCATACAGACTTAGATAGAGATGGACCGTGCATGGATCGGGCCCCCCCACTCTGAGTTTCACGATTCAGAGCCCCTTTCATGCCTGGGCTTCGATCTGATGATCGCAAGTTGAAGCATTTTGACTCAAAGAATTCGACTGTTCCCGATTCTTCTCCTTCGTCCATGCCGAGAGATGTGTCCAGGCCACGGGCAGGCGAATGGACTGCACGTGGATTGAGCCACTTGGACTCCATGGGGGAGGAGCCAAATTTTCGGTCTGGCAGATGTGCAGGACGGGGTCGACGATTGTAATGGTTTTGACAAGATGTCGGAGACTCTACTGTCAGCTGTAGGCGATCAGAGTCGCAGAGTAGTCAGGATTGCTAGTTTGGCAACATGCTTGATTCAATTGATGCAGACATGTTGTTGTTTTGTGCCCTGCACTCGGAAACTCAGCTTGCCTGAAGCCTGAATCGGCCCTGTTGCAAAACCGCCAGGCCTTAAGTCAAACCATTTCGAATCGCACAGCGCTGGCCGAACGTGGTCTAGCCGTGGGAATGGGTTTTGGCGACTACGGAGAAGAAATGTCAGAACGATAAGACTGACGCGGATCATTGTGACGACGACTGCCAGCGATGAGCGTAAAATGACGATCCCCAGCTGCATCGGAAGACGCTTGCTCTGTGGGCCCCGCTTGCCGAGGCTTGAGTCGGTTGAGTTCCGTTTTTTGCTTTAATCTTAGGTTCGAGGTCCAGACACAGAAAGCGAGTCTTGTGAAGCTTTGCCCTGCCAACTGAGATTCTTCCACAAACGCTGGGTAGACGTGAATCTAAGCGCAAGAGCCTGAGATGCACTGTTGCAGCATCTTGCAGCGGTGCCCATTGCTGCATGTGGCTGTCTGCAGTACTGCGAACGAAGCAGCGACCATGGCTCGCTTGACAGCTTTTGCTCTCATGGCCAGGTAGTCGTTCATCACATTTCACACGCTGCAAGTGAAATCGCATTCTTTCGCCAACATCAGGTCCGCACTTTCAACTTTGAGGAGTATGAGTGCGGGACTCAGCTGGGGGACATTGGCCAAGCCTGAAGTTGCGCCAGACGTCCAGCGATGCATTATGGCATAGGGTTGCTTCATGATCTCAGATCCACTGGTGACGTATCGGATTTGCCTGGCACATGTTCCACTGCACACATCACCAAAACCCAGACTAGCCCAGTTAGGCATCCCTGGCGGTGCGCGCACGCACACTGATCTCGACACTGGAACTCGTGTTGTGCCGTAGTTGCACTGCAACCGCGAGGCTCTTTTCAGTGTTGGCTGTGTCTTCCGCGGTCTGAGGCAACATGCACTGGGCCGCCAGAAGCGGCACGCGGCACCGCTGCCACATCAGAAGGCCCCGAAGGCAGAAGATGCAGAGACGGCACCGCATGTTTCAGACAAGACCGTCAGGTCTCCTTCCCGAACCGTCCCGGGGTCGCCTCCCGACCGCGCGTGCAGCCACTGCCACCTAGGTGGGACCCGGCTCGCTTCGGGGACACCAACCAATTTCTAAACTCGCGTGTGAGGCCAACTGTTCAGCCTGAGCTGAGTCCAGAGCCAGTGGCCCAGTCTACCAGCACAGATCCAGCGGCCTTGTGCAGCGGACATTGAGGCAGCTGCTTTGGCAGATCCAACAGGAAGTCAGGCGCGAGGACCGTGACGAGAAGCGGCAGCGCTGGGAGCCGGCTGCCCGGATTTTTCGTTGCATCGCATTCATCCGCATACCACGGTGATTTTGGTCTGCTGAACCTCTTGATGGAGCCAGCTGAGAGGCAGCATGCTAGCCAGAAATCGACCAGGCGCAGGGAGGAAGTTTTTGCCGGCATGATCCGTAGTGTCTAGGAGGGTGTACGAGGGGAACTGGAAGATCGAATCGGATGAAGCAGGCAAGAGCTGTGCCACCCACCGGCTTTTGCTCATTTTCGAGCAGGGTTTAGGTCTCGCAAACTGCCCTTGACGGCCAGCACATGCAATTTCGATTGTGAGATACGCACTCGATTTTCCTAATGCGAAGTCCTTCTGCTACTAACACCATGAAGATTTGCAGCCAACAAAGTACGTACGCAAGCCCGAATGGCCACGTCACCTTTTGCGTTTTGCGGAGTAGCTATTTCCAGGGTCCAGTCAACGCGGGGGAACCCAAGGTACAGTTGAAAGTAAACAGAGTGGCAAACAGCGATCGGAAGCCAAGTCAACGCTGCTCAGTCCGGCGATGTCCACGGCAGGCCCCCATGAGCAGGCACCTCTCATGTTGGCTCATGGCGTGCAGCTTTGCAAGCCCCAGCATGACGAGAAAGAATCGACACGGAGAACAGGGTGCAGTGTGGACCTGTTGGGCACTCTTGTCGAGTCATGTCGAGCCGCGAAGCAGCAAACACATCCTGACTGTCTAGAGTCCAGACCTCGCATTCCCGGTCTCGCAAGCCTTGCAAAAGCCCTAAGCACTTATCTCGTGTACTCGCGTGTAGAGCCTGGTGTTTCGAGTGCTTTGCCGATGCATAGTTTGTCGTGCCGCGACTGGCCGGCCTGTTACTCATGTGCAGAGTAGGTGTACCACTGAATCTCACATCAGGTCACAGCAGCATGACATAAATCGTGCGAGTCACAGCTTCCGGAGTATCTCCGTCGCCCGAGCATTATCAGCAGTGTGGTTCAGCCTCTACATGCAGGTTGAGTAGACGTAGATGCTCTTTTTGTGCAGGTACTTGGGGCCGTGGCCGAGGCTGCCCTCCCCAGGCCAGTTTCTAAGTGTCCAGTCTTTCAATTCTAACGTCCGGAACGCGCTATGCCGCTATGCACAGTTCCTCGGTCCAGTCGGCGGCTGCTGCTGGCGCCAAGGTCCAGGGTTTAGGGTTTGAGGTTCGCGAGTTTTGGGCGTAGGGTTTTGGAGAGGGGCTTTGCAAAAGCATCAACAGGAATGCCAGTCGCTGTACAACGATTGTGGTGGGCTTTAATCTGATGTCGCTTTGCACAGGCATCCGCTCTGCTGGCTGCAGCGTCGGTGATGCCACCACCCGTCGCGGCAGCACCTGCAGTAGCACCAGCCAAGTTTTACTTTTGCAGTAGGAATCGGCAATGACCGAAATGTGCTTCACATCTCAGGGTTTACAGTTCAGTCTATGTTCACCTAATTTTGCTTTCAAGCCAGGCTCGGCCAATCTTCGGTGATCAGGCCGCGCGTTTGGTGGAGTGTGTTCAAGGTTTGAAGTTCCGTGCGAAGATGCGGTGGGGTGCGGGGTGACAGAAGCATGTAGACAAGAAGCGCGCGGCAAGAATGCAGGCAAGCGACTGCAGACTCGTGATAAGGAACGTCTACATCTGCTCTTGATGTTCCTCTGCACAGGCATCCCCACTTTTAGCCGCTGCCTCGACAATGGCAACCCCACCAAAGTTGGTGCCGGAGGCCTTGTATGCGCTTGTTTGGCGCTGGCCCATCACCAACCAGCTCATCGGTTTGGGATTTGAACAGGAGCCTTTTGCGGAGATAGCTTCAAAGTTCGAAGGCGTCCACGCTGCTGTCTGCGCTGTCGCCATCGTCGCCGCCGCTGGTGCCACCCCAGGTAGGGTTTTGGGGCCTCGATTGCCCATGTTGAAATTCTCGGTGCTGGGAGTCGCACGCGATTGCAGGACTCGGCGCGATTGGCTGCATCGCTAGCATCCAAGCCCGAAGCAACCAGCACGACGGAGGCCATGACATCTGACCAGTGTAGGGGCATGAAAGTCATCGGATGTCAGGCGCTTCCGACGCCGATTCCCAGCGTGGCTTTACAGCCGCCGATCGTGGCCGAGGCCTGCGCCTGCGCCTGTCACCACAAGCAGATCTGTCCCAGCCAGGCGCAGCCTCTCAAACCAACGCCAGAGGAAAATCCCGCGTCAGTGCGGTACCCTAGCACGAGCTACCGAAATGGTGATGGGTATGTCAAACTTTGCCGCAAGCACACGCGCTTCAGTTTAGAAGGTAGAAGAGGACGTGCTTGTCAGGCATGCGATAGCAGTCGATGGCATGCTGCAGCTTCGATCTGCATTGCAAGGCGTCTGCTCCATCCTTGTCCAAGGCACGGGCACCGCTTTGCATTGTGGGTACGGGTTGATCCCTGCTTGCAGGGCTTTGGGCAAGCTTCCGTTTGGCTTGTCCTGTGTAGCGTAGAGGGCTGGGGAGGTGAGACATTCATCCTGTCGCTGTCAGTCACTACCATGCTCGTGTTGCAACAGGAAGTGCCGAACGTTCCAAAGACGCCTCCAAAGGCAACGGTTGTGAGCATCTGAGCATCCACACGCCTGTTCAGCCAAGTATCTGTTGGTGAACATGAATTCGTGATTGGCTCCGAGGCAAAGCCAACTTTCCCAAAGCGATGGAGCTATCCAGGCTGCTTCAGCATTGAAGAATCAAAGGCTAATCTAGCCTTCTTCGCCAGTGTTCCAATGCTGCTGATGGTGCTTCAAATGATCATGCGTGCTGCCCTGCAGACAACTTGGCCCCAGCAACTCCAGAAAGAGGAGGAACGAGGAGCAAAGGAGGAGTGAGCAGGAGCATGAGCACGAGAAGGACGTTGAATCCAGTCCTTGCCGCGAATCCGGGATCTGCACAGTCGTCAGTCAGTGTTTTTGTTTGTGGAAGCCAAGGTTGCTGACATCTCGGTGGGGTTGTAGTATTTGTAGCGGTAGAAGTAGCAGTACCAGTAGCAGCGCAGAAGCAGGAGCAGTGGCAGTAGCAGTGGCAGGAGTAGTAGTAATGGTAGTCGTCGTCGTAGTAGTGGTAGTCTTAGTGGTAGTGCTAGTCCAGCGGTAGTGGTGGTAGTAGTAGTAGTAGTAGCAGCAGCAGCACTAGCAGGAGTAGTAGTAATAGTAGCAGTAGTAGTAGTAGTAGTAGTAGTAGTAGTAGTAGTAGTAATAGTAAGCACCCCGGCTCAGCTGTGT